TGTTGTTTGGCGGGTCCGGGCTGGGGATTCGAACCCGCCACCTTAGGTGTACGTGGCTGGCGCCTTAGCCGGTTGAGCTATAGGCGCCGAGCCAACAACACCATTTATTATCACACAGTTACATTTGGGTCACAGATACAGGCATGAGTTAGCTGGGTCCTTGGGTTTAGGTTCTCCCACAGGCTGCAATCAAGATGTTGACTAGGGCTATAGTCATCCAAACCTCCCCTGGTGTTTTGAACAATATATTCACTGCTCTATAAAAAGAAATAATTAATTTGGGACTAGCAAGAAGGGAGTCTCTCCTGATAGTCATCAAGTTTTTTCTAAAACAACCTCAAAAAGCAATGGAGCGCTAGGTCTTAATACATGGTGCAAAAATAAAAATAAAAAATAATTTTAAAAAAGTAATTGAGCATGTTATCCGATTACTGTCCACTAAAATATTAATTAGGCCAAACCTTAAACTGCATGTGACTCACTCTGAGCATCTTGTTAAAAATGCTGCTTTGATTTAGAAGTTCTGGGATGAGGTCTGGAATCCAGAATTTCTAGCAATCTCCCACATGATTCTGATGCTACAAGTTCTCAGACCATGTCTGGAATACAAACAACTGCAGACCCCAGGCTGTCGGCAAGCCAGGAAGAGTGCTTTCAATAAGAACTCGACCATGCTGACACTCTAATCCAGAAATACATGTTTTTTAAGCCACCCAAGTCCATTTTCTTTGTTATGGCAGTCCAGGTTAATACAGTCCCAAGTATACAATGGCTGTTCATTGAATAACTAAATAGATGACTTAATGAACAAATGAATGAACAAGTGAATAATGTGCCTTTAGCCTTCACAGAGACGATTAAACCGCTCTGTGCCAGAGATGACATCTGGAAAGCGAGTCTATCAGCTGCTGCTTGTGCCCATCTCTTGTCACCTGATCATTTCTCCCCAGGTTTTAATCTTGGATTCTGTAATGGGTAGGTATACTAAACCCTGGTAGTACTGACATTTGGGGTCTGATCATTCTTTGTTGTAAGAAGCTTTCTGGTGCACTGCATAATATAATAATATAAAAGAGGCTAGCAGCATTGCCAGCCTCTTTTCAATAAATGCCAGCACCTGCTTCCTCTAAGTTATGACAACCAAAAATGTCTCTAGGCATTGTCACAGGTTCCTGGGATCAAACTCTCTCCCAGTTGTTACAGATGATTCATCAGTCAGGGTACAGTCAGGAGACAGAAACCACACTAGGTGCTCAAACATAAAATTTAATGTAAGTAATTGATACCTAAAGTATAAAGCTATTAGGATACTGAAATTATTTAAAAGAACTCTGAAGTATCATAGAGATAGTAACTATAGAAAGTTGGAGAGAATTTTGCAATAAAGAAAGTTTGTATAAAGCAGTTAAACATTTCCAAAGAGGTTATAATGGAAAATGGGAATTATAGGTAGAAGGGGATGGACGAGAGATGCAGATCGTGCAAGACCTAGTCTAAGCTTCCCTAAAAAATTTTTGTTTTTCCCTAAAAGCAGTTGGAAGCCACTGAATGATTTTAAGTAGCAAAGTGATAGGACTAATCTTACAAGTTAGAAACTACATTCTGGTACTTAGAAGAAAATTGAACTAAAGACAGAGGGTTTGAGACAAGGGTTTCTCACCAAAATCTGGAGGATCTGAACTAAGACAGACAGGCATATCCCAAGGACTATTTAAAATACAGTCTCTAATTTATCTCATTCAACTCATTTGATAACAATGATCTACTATAATTCAGTGATTGCTACCCTGGCCACGATAATTGTCAGTTTTTAATTTTTACTTGAAATGCTTCTGACCATCAGAAGCAACTGCAAGTGAACCAGCCTCTCCCATGACCATCACAATAAAAAAAAAAAACTACTTAACCAGATAAAATATATGAAATAACTGTCTTCATAGTTTGAACAACAAGCATTACAGGACTATGAACTGGAGAAAAGAAATGAATGAGATGAGCCCGACAATCACCCAGAGTTCTTCCTAGAGGCACTTTCTATATTATAGCACAGCAACCTTGCTCAGCTTAGCTGAGATCGGAAATCACGATATTAATACTGCTGGAAGTTGCAAGGCTAACTATGGCCAGAAGGAAGCTGCACAGAGAAAAAGATCCAGCAATCTGCATAGGGCGCCCTTGAGTCTTTTGCCAAATACTAAGTTGTGCACAGTGAATCTACAAAGCTGCACATGGAACAGCTACTAGAGAAAAAATAATTACCAAACAACAGTGCACTGAGCAACTACTAGAGGTCAGCCAAGTATAAGAGCATCTTTTGTTAATTTTTATTTATTTATTTACTTACTTGTTTTTGAGACAGAGCCTCAAGCTATCCCCCTGGGTAGAGTGCCGTGGCATCACAGCTCACAGCAACATCAAACTCTTGGGCTTAAGCAATTCTCCTGCCTCAGCCTCCCAAGTAGCTGGGACTACAGGTGCCCACCACAACGCCCAATCATTTTTTGGTTGTTGTCATTGTTGTTTGGCAGGCCCAGGCCGGATTCAAACCCACCAGCTCTGGTATATGTGGCTAGTGACCTACTCACTGAGCTACAGGAACTGAGCCTGTAGGAGCATTCTTGTTTTGATCTGCAGATGAAGAGAATTTACTGAAAATCCTTTTTGTTGCTCAGTGTGTTCCTACATACAGATGTTACTATTTGTTAATCTACACATATGTTGAACATTTGGGTTGTGTCTAATTTTGGAGTATAACCAGTAAAGCTGTTATGAATCTTTAGTATCTCAAAACTAGTATACTGGGTGAAAGAAACCAGATGAAAAGAGTGTATAACAGTGATTCCATTTACATAATACATTAGAAAATGCAAATGAATCCACACTAACAGAAAGATCAGTGGTTGCTTCAGTGAGGAAGGAAAGGAGGGAGGAAGAAATTACAAGGAGGTGAGTAGAAACCTGAGGGTACAGACATACTCACTCGATTACAATGATGGTTTCAAGGGGGTACACATATGTCAAAACTTATCAAACATGCTTTAAACATGCTTCATAATTGTCTACTAATTACACCTCAATAAATTTATCTTTTAAAAAATCACTGCAACTAAGTTGTCAGACATTGAAAAGCAGTCCAGGAGGAAGGCCCTTCCATAAACTTGGCTGACCATTACTCTGGTAGAGAAGGCATTCAGCTTCTGGGCTCAGCGCCTGTGGCTCAAGCCACTAAGGTGCCAGCCACATACACCTAAAGTAGCGGGTTCGAATCCAGCCCGGACCTGCCAAACAACAATGATGGCTGCAACCAAAAAATAGCTGGGCATTGTGGGGGGTGCCTGTAGTCCCAGCTCCTTGGGAGGCTATGGCAGGAGAATTGCTTGAGCCCAGGAGTTGGAAGTTACTCTACCCAGGGTGAGAGCTTGAGGCTCTGTCTCAAAAAAAAAAGAAGAAGAAGGCATTCAACTTCTCCTAGGCTCAGCCTGTAACTCAGAAACACACTGAACCACCAGGCTGGCCTTGAACCACTGGGCTGGCCTTGAGCTCTCCACATCAGTCCTAATGTATTCTGGAGAATGAGCTTCCCTTTCCAGACACTTGTGTGTTGAATAGCCGAATAGGGGAAATCTGAACAATATCACCATTTCTACTGGCAGGTAGAGGTAGTTTTCCTGGGTGGCCTGTGTTCTCCAGATGTAGAGTCATGTGGGGGGTTGATTCTGTAAAGCAGAATACAAAAACTAGGGTTTAAGGAACAGAAATCATGGTTGAGCTCACAAACTTTAACAACAGCGGTCTTAACTTCAGCTTATCTCTCAAACTTATTATTTTCAACTACACAATGGAACTAAAGCTATATAATTTTTGTTGTTGTTGCAGTTGTCATTGTTGTTTAGCTGCCCCGGGCCGGGTTCGAACCCAGGAGTCTCAGTGTATGTGGCGGCGCTCTACCCACCGAGCTACGGAGCCGCCAACTATGTATTTTTTTTTAATGATGTTACCTTCTGAAATTACAGCATATTGGGCACTCCTCACCTTGAACGCTAAACGTGCAACTTTTTCCTACATATATACTTAAATCAAAAGCCTAAATAATTACAATTTACTGAGAAAACAAAGTTGTCTCCTTCTGAATTAAGAATTTGAGAAAACCTAGGAGCAAACTAAAACCAAGTAAAGCCCTAAATGGCACAAACCTCAAAAATTCAGTCCGGTTTGCCCAATAAAGCTCCGCCTCCGTGCAAACCCTGCCCACTTCCGGCTGCCCCACCCATCCGCAGACACTGTGTCCCGCCCCTTTCAGCAAGGTCCCGCCCCCTGCACCTGATCCTGGTTCCCATTGGACGAATCTGGAAGCTGTGTACACAACCGACACACGCGCGTTTGGCTGGGGCGTCTTCGCGCCTGCGCAGTACCACCGTTAGGCTGAGGGAAACTGGGGGCTGGGGGGAGGGGGCGGAGGTCAGGCCGAATCTTCCTTCGTAATAAGAAGCGACGCGTCCCGCGGTCCTGGCTCCGTGGGTCCCGTCGGATTGGACCTGGGCGCTGGAGCTACTGTGGCTCCCGCCACGGCGGGTGCGATGGAGACCGTGCCGGCGCCCAGCACTCATGCCGGGGGAGGCCAGGACAGCCGACGGTGCTTGTAGATGAGGCGGCGGCGGCAGCAGCCGGGGCTCTCCATGAGCAAGCGGCGGCGGCGACGGGTGCGGCGGCACCGGCGGTTTTCGGTCCCCGGGGAGGTACGAGGAGTCGGTTTCCTGGTGGACGGAGACTGGCCGGGCTCTCCCGCCCGTGTGCCCGCAGTCCCCGACGCTCGGCGTCGTCACCGCCCGGACGGAGGCATGGGCGCGCCGCCGACCCCGCGGCTCCGGGTTTGGGCACCTGCCGGCCGGTGGAGCCAGTCGGGGCGCGGCCGGAGTGCAAGGGCTAGACGAGGGCGCCCTGCTGGTCCCTGCCCTGGAACCCCGCGCTGCTTCGAGGGGAAGCGCGTGGCCGTTTTTCCAAAGGAGTATTTCGGGGCGCTGACTCCTGAGGGGACCCTGACAACCCCTGAGCCGGCATTCACTGCCCGCAGGTGGTGTGGTCCCCACAGCCAGCTTGGGGTACGGATTGCCACCCTTGGCAATGACCGCAAAAGGCGTCGTTCTACCAAGGAAATAGAGGTCGGAGTTTTCTAGATTTTTTCATACTAGAGAGCTTGTTGAGGCAGGAAAATGAAGTTGGTGGAATCGAAATACATCCTCCAGTGGTCCCAATACAGTGCCTGACATTATTTTCGACAAAGTGATGAAAACCTAAGACAATTTTAAGTAAAGCTCTTTATAGCCATCTCTCCATCTTCCCCTCCCCAAATTTTTATTGCATTCACCAAGTTAATGCTGAAAAGATTGTTACCTCTAGATCTTCCGATCCTTCCCCTTCCCCCCTTCTTTTTGCCAGAAAAGAACTAAAGAAGTTTCATGCCATTTATATCATTCAGGTTTTAATTCCATTAGAATATAGCTATTGCTTTACAGAGCCGTAGTTAATTTTCATTTGGTCATGTCTAAAAGATAATTTGAAGAAAAAATATTAAGAGATTTATGATTCCATTCCAGTGCAATATTAGGAATCCAAACTCAGGCTTTTTAAGTAGTCTTACACCTTGTTATTAATTTTTTTTAATTCAACAGAAAGAAATCAAACCATAAAGTTATTTTCATGTTTAAAGTATTTGAACGCCTTGTGAATTTTTTTTAACTCTTTGTAAAGGACATGTGCCAATTTTTATTAAGAAGAAACTGAGTTGTGTTTCCCTAAGCTGTAGATTTGCCACACCCTCTTAATTCCTAAGTGGTTGACAAGAACCAACATGTTAGCACACGAGGTACAAACATCTACACTTCAGACTTAATGCAGTTCACTGGAATTGCTTCAAGCTGAAAATGCTGTGTATGCATATGTTTAATATATCGTAGAAATGAATTTTTAGTCCGCTTGTATTGCAGACATTTTGAACTTAACGTTTCTCACAAACAAAACACATAGGTCTACATTATTATTGCGTGTTGAGTTCATACTGTGCTTTAGGACAGTGGTTCTCAACCTTCCTAATGCCACTAACCTTTAATAGAGTTCCTCATGTTGTGGTGACCCCCAACCATAAAATTATTTTCCTTGCTAATTCATAAGTGTAATTTTGCTAATGTTATGAATCATCATATAAATATCTGATATGCAGGAGACCCCTAGAGGGGTCTCAGCCACAGGTTGAGAACCGCTGGCTTAGGAGGATGTGGCACTTGAAAAGATGATCAAAATAAGACACTGATCTCAGTTACTCATTTCTCTGTTCCTATTCCTCAGCTGCTTCCCTTTTTTCATAAGAATCCACTTTTCCATAAAAGTAACATGATGGAAAACAAGATTTTAGTTTAGACATTTGTTTGCCCCAAGTAAAGTGAAGCAGTTTTTTCAATACAATTTGAAAAAAGAACTCATTCTTCTGTTTTTAAAATGTGTTTTAGAAAACATATATAACAGAAGCATGTTTATTAAAATACTGTCAGTGGCTCTAAAACCAAAATGCTTAGCTGTCTTCAAGGTTGGGGGAAAGATAGGTGCCCATTTAAAGTGGGAGAACATATCGGTTCATTCCCATATACCTGGTGGATAATCAGGATGTCTGTTACCTTCTGAATGCGATAGATCTTCATAGCGTGGTCTCTGTAGTTAGAAGTTATAGGATATCTAAATTGTATAATTCATAGGACAATTCTAAATTGCAAATGAAAAGCCCAAAGTGAATAGAAACACTAGCTATGCTACTATCCACATAGTTCTCAGGATTACTCCCCATATGCTGTCTTTCAAAGCTAAATATTGGAATTAGTCTTAGTCTATAGCAAAATAAGTTGTTATTACATAGTTTTTCTATACCATAGATAAAAAGTGCAGTATAATTAATATAAAGACCTTCAGATAGCTGTTACTCTATATTCCAACTAAAGATCACACGTATCAGTTTCTTAAGTGGAACCACCCACATTAACAAGAAAATGAAGCACAGCCTCAGGGAGGGTGAAGGGAGGAGGAGGGATGAAGGGAGGAGGAGGGTTAGGTTAGGAACGTACCCAACCAAACTTAGTTGAAATCTTTGAACAGCTGTATTTTCAAATGTCATAAATAAAATGCAATATAATTAATATAAAGTCTATCAAATGGTCCTTCAGTACCTTAAAAAAGGATGGCACCTTTTTATTTATTTATTTATTTATTTGTTGAGACAGAGCCTCAAGCTGTCCCCCTGGGTAGAGTGCCATAGAATCACACCTCCAACTCCTGGGCTCAAGCGAGTCTCCTGCCTCCGCCTCCCAAGTAGCTGGGACCACAGACACCCACCACAACGCCTGGCTATTTTTTTTTTTTTTTTGGTTGCAGCCATCATTGTTTGGTGGGCCCAGGCTGGATTTGAACCCGCCACCTTAGGTGTATGTGGCTGGCGCCTTAGCCACTTGAGCCACAGGCACCGAGCCAATGGCACCTTTTTAAATGGTCTCCCAGAGACCATAGTACCCTAAAAATGGCTCATTTAAATTTTTTTTTGTTACCGTGGGAGGCCTAATCAAATTTAATTTGAATCTTTAGGTGAATTTATTTCCATTTAAACTTACCAACTTACCTCAAGCATTTAACATACAAAGTCACAAGTTTAGGCCAGGCGAGGTGGCTCATGCCTGTAATCCTAGCACTCTGGTAGGAGGCCCTGAGGCAAGAAGATCACTTAAGCCCAAGAGTTGGAGGTTGCTGTGAGCTAAAATGTTATAGCACTCTACCCAGGGCCACAGCTTGAGACTCCAACTCCAAAAAAAAGAAAAAGTCACAAGTTTACATGTTCTGTTTTAAACTTTTAACATGCAGGATGAAGACACTGTTTGAAGAGATCAAAGCATCAATTAAAAATAACTACAACCAAGATCGATCATTTTGGAGGCCTGTTCTTCCTTGGGGAGGTGTTTTTACTATCAAAGCTGGCCGCAAAGCAGTGTCCTGTACACCACTCTATGTTGAAATAAGACTGAAAAATACTTGCACCATAGATGGATTTTTGATGTTGTTATATGTCATTCTTAATGAAAATGAAAATTTCCCCAGGGAACTCTCTCTTCACTTTGGGAGAGAGTTTGTAGACTGTTTTCTTTATTTAATGGACACCTACAGTTTTACAACTGTGAAGCTGCTTTGGATTTGGGACAAGATGGAAAAACAGCAATACAAATCTGAAGTTCATAAAGCTTCATTAATAATTGATCTGTTTGGGAATGAACATGATAACTTTACAAAAAATCTCGAAAATCTTATGTCCACCATTCAAGAGAGTTACTGTTCCAACTGGCGATGCCCAACTCGAGTACAGGAAGATCAGCAGCGCACAATTAATATAAAGTAAGTCACTCTAAAGTCTTTTTGTCACTTTTACTTTTTTTAATGAATGTTGCTTTAAATATTATATAATCATCTCCCACATAACAGAGGACTACATATTCAAAGGTGGTCCTGTAAGATCATAACACATAATTACCACACCTTTTCTGTACTTAGATATGATTGGTACACAGATACTTACTGTTAGTTAACAGTTACCTACCATATTCAGAACTGTAACATGCTGTACAGATTTGTAGCCCAGGAGTAGTAGGCTGGACCCTACAGCCTACGTCTGTAGTGACTGTACCATCTAAGTTGATGTAAGTACACTATGATGTTCACACAACAGAGAAATTACTGAAGGACGCAGTTCTCACTGTGTTTGCCAAAGTACTTGTGAAAGTAGAGCCTGGATAACTACGAATGCATTGAACAACCATACAAATGTAAGTCTTTCTGCAGGTCCCCTGAACATTTTAGAGTTACTTTACAAAACCAACTGATAACCTTTTTGGTAGCAAAGTAATAACTTAGTCAATACGCAAGATGTTTACCCTTGTTTTGAGTTTACTAAAATGACTGTCAGTAATTCTTTGTGTCACAGATTTCTTTGTGTCACAAATTTCTGTGTGTCACAAACAGCACTTAATGTTTTGGAATGTTCCACTTTTTGAATGAATCTCTGTCAGGAATGCTAGTTTCACTTGAATAAGAAAATTAAACAATGCTGGACGAGGTGGCCCACACCTGTAGCTAGCACTCTGGGAGGCTGAGGTGGATGGATTGCTTAAGCTCATGAGTTCGAGACCAGTCTGAGCAAAAATCGAGAGCCCCCCCCCATCTCTACTAAAAATAAAAAAACTGCTGCAAGAGGATCACTTCAGCCTGAATTGGAGGTTGCTGTGAGATATGACACCACGGCACTCTACCCAGGGTGACAGCTTGAGACTCTGTCTCAAAAAAGATATATATATATGTATCTTTTAATCTTTTTTTTTTTTTTTTGTAGTTTTTGGCCAGGGCTGGGTTTGAACCCACCACCTCCAGCATAGGGGGCCGGCAGCCTACCCCTTTGAGCCACAGGCACCGCCCTAAAAGATATTTTTTCATATCATGACCTGGGCATAATTATAGACAGAAACCTCAGAATCCTCAAGCAAACTTGGCATCTCACAGCCAGAGGAGATGTAAACATGAGCAGCTTTTACAGTGATAGGAGAGGTGCGGGGAGCCAGCGAGTGTGTTTGGCCATCAGAGAGAAGGCTGACCTCCAAGCTGATAAATGACAGGGAGCGAGGCCAGCCCTAGGTGGAGTGCTGGGAAACATTAAGGTACCCAGGGGACAAGAGCTGGAAAAGGAGTAATCGGCAGTGAAGAAAAGCAGACCCAAACACACAGTTGTCAGACAAGGAGTTTGGTCCCATGGTCCAGAAAAACAGCCTGACAGATTGTTCTTGTTTGGAAGTGTACATCACTTACCCTAATTTATTAAACTCACATTTTTTTTCTGACATATACTTTGTCTATTTTCTTGTATTGTTGATATGATCATATTGACTTTGAAATCTCTGTCAATGAAAAATTTTCTTACTCTATATCAGAATGGTCTAAAAAGTATTTCAGGCTGGGCAGTAATTCTTACCTGTAATCCCAGCTCTTTGGGAGGCAGAGGCCAAAGGATCACTTGAGCTCAGGAGTTCGAGACCAGCCTGGACAAGAATGAGAACTCCGTCTCTACAAAAAAATATAACAATCAGCCCTGTGTGGTAGTGGGAGCCTGTAGTCCCACATACTCAGGAGGCTGAAGCAGGAGGATCACTTAAGCCCAGGAGTTTGAGGCAACAGTGGGCTATGATCATGCCACTGTACCCTAGCCCAGGAACAGATTGCAACCCTCTCTCCAAAAAAATAAAATAAGTAAATTCAAAAAAATATTTTTTTCAGTTTGATCTTGTTATTTTTAAAACTAGTATTTTTTAATTTTTAAATACTCTGAAACTATAATAAAATATTTTAATTCTATTAATACTAATAAGTTATACTTCTTTTATTTAATATTTAATATTTTTCATCTTACTCTATAACTTTTAAAGGTTTTTTTTTTTTTTTTTTTTTTGATCACCCTTGGTAAAGTATCATGGCATCATAGCTCACAGCAACCTCAGACTCTTGGGCTCAATCAATTCTTCTGCCTCCGCCTCCCAAGTAGCTGGGACTACTACTGGAGCTCCAGTGACCAGCTATTTTTTTAGAGACGGGGTCTTGCCCTTGCTCAGGCTTATCTCAAACCTGTGAGCTGAGGCAACCCACCCACCTCAGACTCCCACAGTGAACTTTTTAAAGTTTTTGCACATTTTTTTAGCCTGTATTTAAAACAACCTGTGAAGTATGTAGGAAAATTTTTTTTAATAGATCAGGTACCTGAGGCCAAGAATGGTTGTGACTTCCATTTGGTCAGGTAGCTAATCATCTGCTTTCCTGAAACAGTCCTTGTGTTTTCCCACCAGATTCTGTTTTGAATCCTCTCACACATATTTTAGATTAACATAGCAATGTTTACATATTTCAGGATTATTTACAGAAAAATATAATGTTTCTTGGAAAATCTCATACATTAATGTTTTTTGAGTTTAAACGCTTTCTGTACTACTGTAAGAAATAGAAAGATGGATGGCAGAGGTTATACTTGGTATACTTGGTTTTGCTAGTAACAAACTGACCTATAAAATTTGTTGTCCTAAGAATCTTTTAGCTTGTAAAATGCTGAAGCAGTTCTTATATGCAGTTTACAATTATTGTAGTCCACCCCAAGAAATTCCACATGGAAACTTGATACGCCTGGCTGTGGATGAGTTATTCTGTTCCAAGATTGAACTCTGTGAAGAACGCGGGTAAGTATACAAGAGCCATTTTAGATGAAAGTATTTCTGTGCTGTTTGTAAGGAAATCTGGGCTTAAGTGCTCTTTGAAGTTCATTCTTTATACAGTGGCAACCTGTGTGTATGTGGGAAGCCTAACGCTTCATAATATAATTAACAACCTACTTTACTGTGCCATCTTATGCGGTGTTTTCAAATATCACAGTATAGAATATGGTTCTATAGCTAATTGATGAACAAAAAGCAAATGCCTTTTTTTTTTCCCCACTGCCAAGTAGGTACAATAAAACCTCGGTTAACCGGAACCCAGCTAATCGGGACCCTCAGTAAACTGGAATTTTTTCTGCATTCCTCATTTAGGAGAAAGAGGTAAATGACAACCCCAAAATTTAACATAGTAAAAAAAAATTAAGAGGGGGCAGAATATATTTATCCCAATCTCTTAGCAACTTCTGTGTCTATGTTACTGTACAGTGAGAATTAATACTTCAAAGGATGATTTTATAGCTAATCACAAAAGAAGGAAAGATAAAAAATACATTCAGTTAATTGTATTTATTAATTCCAGAAGGTGAACTAATATATTGAGTTTATTACAAACACTGAAACCGGTGGTTTTCTGGTTAACTTCGTTTAGTTAGTAATGTTGGGTAACCAGAATACTGTACCCTGAGCATTCCGGTTAATCGAGATTTTACTGTATAATTGTATTTGTTGTATTCTGATCCATATGCTTAATGTCTGATGGCATTAAGTAATCTCTTTTACTAAGAAAAGAGAATTTGTTTCATGTTAATAGAAGATTCTAATGGCAAAAGGAAGCTATTAGAGCCATTATCCCCCTCCCTGCCATTGTTTGAAGCCAGTTTAAAGAGAAAAATGTATCTACAAAGAAAAGCTTATATATCAGTTAAGCAGAAATCACACTGTCATGGGCTTGGATCTAAACAGTTAGCTTTTCTTGGAGTTTTGAAAGTATTACTTCTAGCATAGAGAACACAGCTCATAAACTTCTGGGAATAGATATGCAAGGTAATATACGTAGGTATAGGCACGCCATTTTTGGCTGTATTTATAATAGATAACTCTAAGAAGTATTGAAGGGCATCTGTGAGCCAGGTCCAATACTGTCCATGCCTATTTTCTGTTTTAGGTGTAGCGGCTTAAGAGAATTTTCCCAGCGAGTTTTTTGCCACGGGGCACCCCCTTTTGTTGTCTTAAATATGCAGCATTGGAAATCTGAAGATCTGGCATATGTCCCCTACTACTTGGATTTATCTGATCACAAGTAGGTGTTTTTTTCTTGTTGTTTCTTTACTTTATGAAACTACTGAAAACATTTTTTATCCTAGTCTATCATAATTTTGACTAACCCTTAAGAAAAACAGACATACATATAAATTTTTTTTTTTTGGTAGAGACAAAGTCTCACTCTATCGCCCTCAGTAGAGTGCCGTGGCATCACACAGCTCACAGCAACCTCTAGTTCTTGGGTTTAGGTGATTCTCTTGCCTCAGCCTCCCGAGTAGCTAGGACTACAGGCACCCACCACAACACCCAGCTATTTTTTTTTGTTGCAGTTTGGCCAGGGTTGGGTTTGAACCCTTTACCCTCGATATATGGGGCAGGCACCCTACCCACTGAGCCACAGGTACTGCCCCCTTAAGAAAATATTATTGGAAAAATTACAGCTGTCTCTAAATTTCTGTATCCTGAATAGAATCAGAATGTACTAGAGGGTGTCAGGCACCAGCAGTGTGCATAGACAGAGTCTCAAGCTGTTGCCCTGGGTAGAGTGCTGTGGTGTGAGAGCTCACAGCAATCTCCAACTCCTGAGCTCAAGTGATTCTCTTGCCCCAGCCTCCCAAGTAGCTGGGATTACAGGCACCCGCCACAACGCCCAGCTGTTTGTTTTTTTTTTTTTGTAGTTGTCATCGTTGTTTGGTGGGCCCAGGCTGGATTCGAACCTGCCAGCTTTGGTGTATGTGGCTGGAGCCTTAGCTGCTTGAGCTATAGGCGCCGAGCCTTTTTTTTTTTTTTTTATGAATTCTTAAATTACATCATTCTTTAAACATTGTATACCACATTACCAGTTATTATACATGATTTTTATCCAGGGGTATCCAACCTTTTTTCTTTTCTGCAGCACATTGGAAAAATAAGAATTGTTTGGGGCCACACATTAAATACAAAAGCACTAGCAAAACCTAATGAGCTGGCTTGGCGCTTGTAGCACAATGGTTACAGTGCCAGCCACAAGCACCAAGGGTAGCGGGTTCAAACCCAACCCAGTCCAGCTAACAACAATGACAACTGCAACAAAAAATAGCCAGGCGTTATAGCCGGCACCTATAGTCCCAGCTACTTGGGAGGCTGAGGCAAGAGAATTGCTTAAGCCCAAGAGTTGGAGGTTGTTGTGAGATATGACACAAGGCACTCTATCCAAGGCGACATAATAAGACTCTGTGTCCCCCCCAAAAAAACCTAATGAGAAAAAAAAAAAGGTCCATTCATACTTTTCATGATATCCAACACCACACATAAGCAAAACAGTGTTCAAATAAGCTGCATGTCGCTCCTGGGCCCCAGTTTGAACGCTCCTAATAGAGACAGATACCTTTACCAAAGAAGGGAATACAGACATATCTCAATTATTTTATTCCTTAGTTAAGAATCTTAAGTAATGTCTATCTTTAAAAAACTGTAATTTTCTGCTACACTTTGTCATTTAATTTGTAGGTATTTGTTGGAAGGTGCCACATTATTTAACAAAGAAGAACATCATTATTCTGCAGCTTTCCAGATTGATGGACATTGGATGCACTATGATGGCCTCAGAAATGTGAATTTAATTTTGTTAAATAAACCCCCCGAGTTTCTCCTCTTGTCATCATTGGTTTATATTCGAGCAGCAGAGAAATAAATACAGACTGATGCTAAATCACATTGTTTTCCCTCCTGCCCATGCTCCCCCGGATGAGGGGCTTTATTTTGTGTGTACTTGGCATCCAAGGGAACAGTTCAACTACAGTAGTTGCAGAGGTATGTTTTTATTGTTTAGTCCCAGGTAAATGTTTTATATATTGGATCTATGCAAAAGTGTTTGTATTTCTTTTTTATATTTCCTGGATTATTTTTATATAAGCATATTTTGTGTTGAAATAAAATATATCTTGTGGCCTTTGTATTTTTTATTTTTATGTACCTTGAAGATTTTTACAAGTCTGTCCTTGAACCCAAGAAAATACTTTCTCATCTGAATTATAAATTTTTCTTTTTAGATTCAAGTAAAACCTGGGTAAAAGTCAGTATTGATGTTTATATAAACTTAACAGTTCAAAATATATTTCTTTGCCCTACCTCACTGTACTGCAAAGTGCACTGCTGGATCTACTATGGATTTGATTGTACAACTTAGGGATGGTTTAGTTTATTTTACCTGCAGCAGTTTTTAACAATATTTATGTGAGAAAGTTTTCTGATCTTAAACTATTTCGTCATAGTGGCAAGTTACTTTCCTCGCTAAAGGATTATAAACCTGCCGATAGATTTTTAAGTATTCACTAAGCTTCCAAGCTTACAGGTTTTGTTACAGATAAATTATATAACTATTCTAAATGTTTATCTCATGATTAAATATAATGAAAATGCTTTAATAAAAATGTATTTTGCACATATGACAACTTTAAAAAAATTAGGCAACTGGGTGTTTACTGGTCTTGGCCTAACAATAGAAATGTAAAATGTGTGCCTGGAAATATTTCTTTTCCTAGTGCAATTTTATATTGGCACAGAGAAAAAAGTACTTAAATTTTTGGAATAACATCTGCTGGCTCCCGTGTAAGTAGTAATTGATAGCATGAGACTTTGACTTGCAACATAAATGAGTAGAATTTTATAATTATAAGAATATTATATTTCTTTAAAAAGACTCTTAAGATTATTCATCCTTTTGCAATTTAAGGGAAAAAAGATTCCTAAGGGAAAATAGTTTTTGAAATTCATCACCATTTATTTTAATGTTTACATTTCAATAAATAGTCCACTTTATGTTTGGGGTTGAGATTAAAAGCACTATATTTGGAGATTTCTACATGACAACACAGATCACTGCCATATACCTAACTACTAAGATTTCATTCAGTAAATTAAATCTTAACACTGGCATGATGCCGTGTTGAGAAAACTCACCAAAGAATGGGTAAATATGGGTGAAACACTGCTGAGAAGGCCTCCTTATAGTAAATACTACAAAAATTCCTTTTTTATATAAGATAAAAATAATGATTATATTACCAAAAAAAAAAATTTGCCTGGGTGTTTATCTACATAGTTCCTCAAGTATATTTAAATAGGATTCGATTTACAGTAAAGATTTTTAGGGGCACCTTACTGTATGAATCATAAATGCAAATATTAGTGTATTCACGAACATTGTTATTAGCACATTTTTTCCTAATGCAGATTTATTATTTTAGGAATTGCACTGTATTTAAAAAAAAAAGTTTATCATGAAACAATGACTTGCCTACCTCACAGGGCTGTTGTGAGGATTAAGATGTTTGTTAAAATGTTGACTACCTTGAACATGCTAATAAAAAATGTTTTTCTACCTCTTTCATGTACAGGCAAGTCTCCCAGATTCTCTCTTACTAATTTCAGATTTTTTAAATTAATTAGGCAGTGGTTCGTATCACTAATATATTTAATGGGTAATGGAAATTAAGTATGCCTTCTTGACCCCAGATGGCTAGGGTTCAGGGAGAAGAGGCCGTCTGTTA